AATCTTAGGTGCCCTAATTCACCATAAATAATTAGGTGGCAACTTCTTATGTTAGTTAATAATTTAGAAATCACCAAAATGGTGTACACTATTTTGACCCGGTTAAAATGGGGTATAACAATCAACGCAAGTTCGTTCACTAAAGTTTAAACAAGGTTTAAATAAACATGTATGAAAAAACATAAACTCTGAAATAAGACGGTTCATAAACCTCATCATGTAAATATTATTTTATGGGTCTATTTGAAACGATCTAGTGAGCAATACCCACTAGTTCTCAAGAAACAACATCACATTTTTAGAATTTTTGGGTCACGAAGCATGAATTAAGGATTATCTCAATTTTTCGTATGTACTAAAGACTATGAATTTTCCGAAATAGGACTGACCGACTCTATTTGACCCCAAATTGTGTGAGTGTATTCATGATGACCTAGTGAGCAATACTCTTTGTCTCACTTTTTTTGGAGTTTCAGGGTCACAAATATGGAATTTAAGATTATCTATATTTTTCATGTATATTAATCCATGAATTTTCTAGAATATGTCAAACCAACTTTATTTGACCCCAAATTTTATGAATTCATTTGAAACGACCGATAAACGATACTCATTGTCTCTGCAGGACTGACACCGCTGTTTTTGGAGTTTTGGGTTAGGTTTCAAAGTTCTAAAGGACAAGGTCATGTTAGGGTTTTGCCCTGATTTTCTTACCATAATTTAAGATTTATATTTCCTTAAAGAAAAGACAAAACATTACCATAAATGTTTTGTCACGCCCCGAGCCTACACCCTGGGCGGGACCGGCACCTGGAGACCATTGCTGGCCCCAGGCGAACCCTTGGCCTGGCTTTCTTAACTCAGCGGAAACCTAACTCAACAGAATAACTCAACGTCATACAAAGACATGAACAACTTAACTAATAAAATATGGCCCAAAGGGCAACTCGAGCCTCAAAATAGAATATTTATATATATATATATATATATATATATATATATATATATATATATATATATATATATATACATATACATGGATGAGAGACTCAAAAATAACTGACTGACTGACTGTCTCACTGTCTATTGAAGCCTCTAATATACTGAGATGGATGTGGGGACAGACCCCGCAACATCCTAATAGAACAAAGCTAAGTACACAAAATAATTGAGTCCTCCAGAACGCAAGGAGGCTCACCACAGACTCTGGAGTGCTCAGCTGGATCAACGACGTGCAGGATGCTGATCCGGGATACCTGTATCTGCATCATAAGACGATGCAGGCCAACTGGCATCAGTACATGGAATGTACGAATATGTGAGCTGGAAAAGCGGAACCACAACTTAAGCTTGAAAGGAGAACAAGAGATCACTTACCTTGACTCTGAACGACTCATATACATAACTGGACTCAAAGTAAAGCAATAAGACACGAGCCACACATATAAAGCTTGTAAAAGAATGTAAACGACTTAGATCGTTAAGGATAAAATGACAACAAACTCCACTTTTCTTTTATAAATATAATACAGCTTTTGTGGGAGGTTCTTTAACCGACAACCACCACTACGAGCCTTAGTGATGATACAACGTTTTACCTCACGTTGCCAAAGGACCATCCTATACCTTGCCATCGATATAGGACCTTACTTTTGCTTAGTGGATCCACTAGCCTAATCTTACGTGATCATCTAAAAAGAATGATACGACAAGTCCCATGTTAGCGCATGGTTCTTATGGGGAGTTGAGTTAATATGAACTCGTGTCCCCAATTCGGTGCTCAATACTACTCCCAAAAATACTTTGGCTCATGCTTTTAAAATAACTTCTTTCTTTGATTGAGATAATTACTCAAAACTTTAGCCCAAAGGCTCCTTTGGGGAAAGAAAACATGATTCCCTTCTTATTCAAATATAATAGCATTTACAACCTCCTTTGGGATTACTTAGTTCCCAAATAGCTTTCTCTTTCTTTTTTTTTTTTTTTTAAAAGAGAACTCAACTTGGAACTCATGACTTAGCTTGAAACTAAGACTCTTACTCGACTTGAAACTTCACTTGACTTGGAACTATCTTTCCTTGAATCGGAATTATGAATTCAAGGTGTTCGATCACATGTTATGGAAGGATTCTTGAACGCTTAGACGCACTTTGGAACGTCGAAAACAACTATAAAACATAGGTGAATTACTTTGGAACATGCATGAGAAAGTGAGAAAAGAAGAGGAGAAACTTGGCTGAGACTTCAGATTTCTGGTGACACAGATAGGACTTACGGACGCCATCGACGGACTGTAGATGGACTTACGGTCCGTACTGCAGGTCCGTAGATTGCGTCAGAGATTTTCCCCAGAATTCATTTAAGAAAAAGACTAAGTGTTGACCTACGGTCCTGACTTACGGTCCGTAGGTCAGGCCACGGACCGTAGGTCGTGACCGTAGATCGATGCCCCAAAAACCAACTTCTGTTCCGATTGACGGTTGACCAGTACGGACCGTCGATCGATCTACGGTCCGTAGGTCAGTCCCGTAGATGGGGATCGACAGCCCAGAAATTTCTGCAAATCGATGGTGGATCAACCTTTAAAAGGGTCATAGCTCTTAGAATCATAATCCCCTCAACATACAATAGGTTTCAACTTAATGCACAACCCAATCAAGCCTCACAACGAACAATAACTTCAACAACCTCAACAACAATATCAACAACAACTAACAACTTCGACACTTCAACAACAATTCCCAATCTTTTCTCAAAGCATAGAATAAACTTGGTGTGTGTGAGGGAAAGGATCAACCCACACGAAAAACTCACATACCTTGATAGGGATCACCCCCGACGAAAATCTACAATGGTCTTGACAAATCTCCTCTTTCTTCTCTTCTTCTTCTTCTCCTTCTTCTCTTCTTCAATCTCAAGAACCCTAACTCTTTCTCTTTCAAAAAAAATGGGACAAAAATGATCCAAAGATCATCCTAATACAACAATATGAGCTCAAAAGAATTGGCTAGGGAAAAGACTAAAATGCCCTTAATGATTCCCGGACGGATTTCCTTGTCAACTGCCCAACTTTCAAAGGTCATAACTCCCTCATACGAACTCGGAATCGAGCAAACTCGGTGGCGTTGGAAAGGTCGTTCCACGAACTTTGCAACCATAACTGGAATTCCACCTAACTCATCCTGAGCTAGAATTTATGGCTGGTCAAAGTTGGCCAAAATTTCACATTTTCCATACTTAGCCAAAATTTCCAAAACTTTAAATTCTTTCCAAAAAATGAAAATTTCCAATTCTAAGCCTCTTCAATTATTTCATATTGCCGGATGTTACATGTTTTTACTTTTCTTGAAAGGAAAATATAATATTATTTCATATTTGGTTTATTCTCTCCTGTTAGGACTCCTTTTCTAGTAAGAAAGGTTTTAGGACTCTATAAATATAGGTTTGTTTCTTCTAACAAAAAAAAAATAACATCCACAATGTAGTCGTTTAAGAGTCTTGTTTATGGGGAGATTTATTCTCTCTAAAGTTTCAATGTTTTTCTTTATATTAGTTTTGATATAATAATATTTTGACTTTTAGTATAAGTTTTTTGTTATTTGATTTATCAACTATATGATATGCAATTGTAAAGCTTCCGCATGACGCCATATTCCCTCATTCAAAACCCAACAAGTGGTATCAGAGCACATGGTCCAACGGTCCCATGGTCCGATGATCCTATGGTTCAACAAGATTGAAGAAAGGTTCAAGTGGTTTCAAATCAATTTGCAACAATTTTGATGATAATGAAGATTTTTGTTGAACTACATGTGGAGAAGAAGTTTCAACCATATTTTCAACATTCTTGTTGCTGCAATTTTTAAAAATAAAAATAAAATATTTTTAACCCATATGTTTTAAATTTTATTTTTAACCATGGCAAGCAACGGTGATGAAGATTTTGTGAAGAACAAGATTATCATGCAATGAAGAAGACATATCAAGCTTTGTCAAGAAAATCCAGCCAAAAGGGGAGATTTGTTAGGGTTTTGCCCCAATTTTTTTACCATAATTTAAGATTTATTTTTCTTAAAGAAAAGACAAAACATTACCATAAATGTTTTTACTTTTCTTGAAAGGAAAATATAATATTATTTTATATTTGGTTTATTCTCTCCTTTTAGGACTCCTTTTCTAGTAGGAAAGGTTTTAGGACTCTATAAATATAGGTTTGTTTCTTCTAATACAAAAAAAAATAACATCCACAATGTAATCGTTTAAGAGTCTTGTTTATGGGGAGATTTATTCTCTCTAAAATTTCAATGATTTTCTTTATATTAGTTTTGATATAATAATATTTTGATTTTTAGTATAAGTTTTTTGTTATTTGATTTATCAACTATATGATGTGCAATTGTAAAGCTTCCGCATGACGCCATATTCCCTCATTCAGAACCCAACAGGTCACGGGTTGGGTCTCCAACAAACAAAATGATGGCAATAATATCTCATCACATGTGGAGAGATTTTAGTTGATTTTGTTTGACAAAAGGGCAATTTGCTTTTTCATCATGAAAATAAGAGAAAAATTAATCAGTACTTTTCTTGTAAGGTTTTTGTTGCATTCTAAAAATGAAATTTCAATTTCGAAACCTCAATTTTAATGAAGGATTGAAAGAGACATATACCTAATTTGTGTTTATTGTGAAAGTGTAACATATTAAATAGATGCATTGTAGCTTTAGTTTAAATTTAATTGCATATTCAAAAGTTAACATAGTAACAAAACACTTGTGCACACTTTACAAAATAGGACAAACATATTATTATCATCAAAAGCATACACAACAGCCAAACAAAGATAATTAACACAGATAGGAGTTCATCTCCGACAGACATCGGAGTAGATCTCCACTAAAACAGACAAAGAACACCCTAAATTAAAACACATTACTTTGCGTCTAGACGCATAAGCAATAACTAAGAACATAGTGCAGCTAGTTTCTCCGATCGATCCTTCAAAGCGCTGCTACAAGTGGAGTAGTGGCAACTGATTTTGGAATCCACACTAGATCATTACTTGATGTGAAAAAGTGACAGATAGGTGATGTTCCTGGTAATACACCGAGCGAACGGAAAGATTCATGAGATGGATTCCATTCAGAAGTATCCAAATGACATACAACCATCGCTTCCACTAGTCGATCACCATTTGCTTCATTAATTATCCCTAATGAAACCTTGAACACCTTGATTTTATTGTCAATTGTGTGATGACAGTAGAAAACCGCGTAAGGGCTAGACAATAGATGACACGCCACCATTTTAGGAGTGGTAATTTGTTGTGGAGTGTCTAAAATTGTATAACGACGAAGCAGGGGAGAAATATCATGAGTTGTTATCGTTGTCAGAGCTTTGATTTGGGTATTTTCTCCCATGATTTCTTGCACAAAATGCAGCATTGCCTCCGCGGATGTGGCACAGTACTTTGCCTCTCCTTTTACAGGCGAATCTTCGCATATTCTCAATGTATTTTCCATGGATTTAACTTGCGAAAATGGAATGGAATCAACTGTTTTTTTCGGAAAATAAGTTAGATTTCTTCGTGTTTGAAAGGAGAGAGTCACTATTTTCCCTATTTTTAGATCATCCATAAGGAAGAAAAATGAATCATGTTTTTTCACATGCTTATCGTTGCCCTGTTTATACGAACTACGAAAGATGTTTCCTAAATTGGAAATCTCTTTCTCATCATTGCCCTGCTTATATGAACTACGAAAGATGTTTCCTAAATCGGAAATCTCATTCTCATCATTTCCCTGTTTATACGAACTACGAAAGATGTTTCCTAAATCGGAAATCTCCTTCTCATCATTTCCCTGTCTATACGAACTACGAAAGATGTTTCCTAAATCGGAAATCTCCTTCTCATCATTTCCCTGTTTATACGAACTACGAAAGATGTTTCCTAAATCGGAAATCTCCTTCTCATCATTTCCCTGTTTATACGAACTACGAAAGATGTTTCCTAAATCGGAAATCTCCTTCTCATCATTCCCCTGTTTATACCAACTACGAAACATGTCCCCTAAACATGAAATCTCTTGTTGATGATTGTCATCAACTCCCTGTTTCGATTTATAATAATCGAACGTGTATTCGGAACCGTAAATCTCTTTTAATGCTTGCTCATGATTGTCATCAGAATTTCCTTCAACAATTTTTCTAGCTCCTGTTCCATAAGCAACCTGACATATATATAATTAATCAGAGTTTTATATAATAAGTAGCTAATTGTATTTAAGATGGAGGAGAATATTGAAATTACCAGCAGAATTAGGGAGACAAGTACACAAAAACCAAGCTTAACATCCATCGATTTTCTGTTGAGTTCTTAAGAAATTCTACTGAAATAAGAGGTGTATATATACTACTAGAAGAGAAGTAAACTCACTAAAGAAAAAGAATCAAAATTGTTACTTGTTATGATGTTGTTTGATATGACACGGAGTTTAAGAAAAAAGAAATACTTTTTAAAATTTTGAACTAAAATAAGTCATATGTGTTTGTGTGGCTATAAATAATCTCGGTAAGGATAAAACTGATATTTTAAAATTAAATTATTAATCTCTCTATCTCAGCATATATGATTTATTTTCCTTTTTAGTAAGTCCAAAAGAATGACATATTTCTTTATTAAATAATAATTCAATTTTAAAATGCTTATTTTGCTCTTAATGAAGTGATTTGCAGCCGCACAAATATTTATCACAATGTCCAAAGTCACACAATCTAATCAAACAATTAATCACAATACGATTTCTAAAAATAATAGTGAAAAGACATAAAGTCACCATTGAAGTTGTTTCGAATTTTCAAAAAAACATCTTAACTTTGCTAGTGTCCTAGTACCCCACAAAACTATATATCTAAATCCACAATAAATATACCTTTTTGACTAATTTTAACATCACTCGTGTTGTCACGAAATATGGGCGTGTGAAGGACTCTTGATACAGCTTCATATCAATGTAAAATTGCCATGTGGCACTCCCAATTTGACTTATTTTAAAAAAATATAAAAACGCATGTATTAATTTTTTTAACTTTATTAGGAATAGTTTTTAATTTTTCAAATCTTTTTTCTCATCTTCCCTACCATCATTAGTTTACGCATATTTCTTGAGCATCCATGGCTTCCTTCAAAAAAATTTCTTTTTCTCTTTTTCCTTTTTGGTCTTTGTTTTTTTAAAACTAATGTTATTGTGTTCATTCTTATTTTTTTATTATTTTTTTTGAAAAACAAATTAGGTTAGTGATTTTTTTCCTCCTACAAATCAAGATTGGGATTTGGGAGTAGTTCAACTATGGAAAACTCAATTTAGGAGTAAGAAGTTGGAGAAGGTGGTGATTTAAATGTCAGATTTTGACTTGGTGATATTTTGAGTATTTAAATTTTGTTTATTTGACGGTGTTTATTTTCATAAATAAATTAATTGGTGATAGTTTGACAAATAATTGGTAATGCTGCCGCGAAATCCGCCCCGCCACAACGGATTTGACATCTGTTGCAGTGGGAAGGGAATGGCAGAAGAACAGAGTTGAGGCGAAGAAGAAAGAGAAAACAGAAAAAAAGAAAAAAAAGCAAAGAAATCAGATAAAAATATTTTAAAATTATTTTTAACACGTGACAAGTGACTATTAGTGCGTAACATACAAGCATTTTGGTATAAGTGGTATTGGGTGAAAAATGGGGTATATGTACTATTTTGAATTTGTTCAATGGGGTAATAGGACACCCGCAAAGTTAAGGTGTCTTTTCAAAAATTCGGGACAACTTCAGTGGTGACTTTATGTCTTTTCTCAAAATAATAACACTCATATCATACACTTTGAAAAATGGGTCAAATCGACTCAAAAACTCAATTTCAAAATGAGGATCCGAAAATCTTTATTTGAAAACGTTACTCAAGGTATTTAGAATTCATTGGTGAAACCATTTCGGAAAAAAAAATCAATTCACAATCACCATTTTACTTTTGAACTCAAGTTCTTGAAAACCTTGTCAATCAAAAATCCCATTTTTTAATGTTAAAATCCACAAATGATAAAAGAGAATTGAAGTTTTAGGGTCACAAAGACTTACCCAAATGATTTTGCACAAGAGATCTCTTTAAAATTGTCTCCAAGGGTTTTCTAAAACTCAAAATGGGGTAAAACCCTGAAATGGCAGGCCAAAACACCTCTCTGAAGTGGCTTAAGCGAACACAAGTGCTTAAGCAGATCCTGCTTAAAATGGGGGTCTCACTTTCGCGAATAAGTGCCTTCCCGATCATCACTAAAGTGAGCCCTGATACGCTTAAGCGAACTCCGCAAAACGTGGCCTATCACTTTCGCTACCCGGTCTTTGCTAAAGCAAAGGTTGCGACAGTTGTCAAGTGTTCGTGAAAGTGAGGCTTGCTATAGCGATCAACTTCTCGCTAACGTAGGCACACCAGACACCAGAAAAATAGCCAACTCTCAATTTATCGAAGGACCCTCGAGATTCGTTCGGAACCCCTTACACACAAAATAAGTATGAAACTTGAATAAAACCGATGTTTCAGACTCAATGAAACCATCGAAACACAAATCCAAAGTGTCCTTGACCCGAAATTCGTGAAAGTCACAAGAAAGAAACATAACGTCTAAAAAGGCTCAAACAAGCTTAGGACCTCTGAAAATTCAACTAAGACCTCATCTAGACCTAAAATCATCCCCCAAATCCAGCGGAACTCTCAGAATTTTGATGTGTAATAATCCATGAATTTTTTGAAATATGTCAAACCAACTATTTACCCCAAATTTTATAATTCAATTCAAAATGACCTAGTGAACGATATTCATTGTCTCGGGTGACACCACTGCTTTTGGAGTTTTAGGTTAGGTTTGAATTAAAGCTCGAAAGGACAAGCTCACGGGTTGGGTCTCCAACAAACAAAATGATGGCAATAATATCTCATATCACATATGGATATATTGTAGTTGATTTTGTTTGACATAAGGGCTATTTGCTTTTTCATCATGAAAATAAGAGAAAAAAAGATCACTGCTTTTCTTATAAGGTTTTTGTTGCATTCTACAAATGAAATTGTTGCATGAAATTTCAATTTCAAAAACTCAATTCTAATGAGGGATTGAAAGAGACATAGACCTAATTTGTTTTTATTGTGAAAGTGTAACAAATAGATGCATTTAGCTTTAGTTTAAATTCAGATAAAATTGACATTAAAATTTAATTATTGCTCCTTCAATTTCAAAATAATTGAATTGCCGTGTTTCACACCCTTTAAGAAAAGAAGATTAGAACATACATTAGACATTGTTTTCCATTTTTACCCTTATAAATTATTGTCAAATTAATCTTTAGAATAATTCAAAGCAATTAAAGTTTCTTAAACTCATCACATCAAAAATTTAAATGAAGGGTAAAAATAGAAGAATATTTTAAAAATAGTCTTGAAGATTGAATAATTAAATTAAGTTGAAATGTGAAAATATTTCAATAATTCAATTATTTTGAAATAGAAAAAATATTAAAGATAGAAATACATCATTTTTTTTTTAGGAACGACACAAATTTTACTTTAACCATGTGGTGTTGTACTATTACTGTCTGCACAAATAATTGAGAAGCATTATGTGCTTTCATAGGAAAAGGCATCAATTAGCTACCACGTTTAACTCGTTTAAATGGAAAAGGGAAGAAATGTTCCTTGATTGTCACAAAAGGTTTAAATATACTTTTCTATCAATTTATTTTGCTAAAACTACTATATGGTTACATTTTTTATTTACTTAACCCACCTAAAAACATGAAATCACTACTAAAAACAACCTCATGTTGCATATTCAATATCAAACCTCTCGTATACTTGCTCATTTTCCAAATCTAGAACCTTTATGGTCACTGTAGCTCCACTAGATAATGTTCCTTTGTACTCGGTCAGAGTCTCTCTCACCAATTAAATTGGATCCATCAAAATTATTTATTGCTAATTGAATCTCATGATAAGAATAAATCAACTGGATAAGTCTTGTTCTGTGGAACCTTTTCGACATCTTTGGACTTCCCTTTCTTCTTTCATTTCATTATCCAAATTGAGACGGACAAGAATATCATAAAGAATGGTATAACCATTGGAGTAATAAATTTTAGCACAAGTTTCTTAGAGACTTATTGTCATCTAGGATTAGTGATAGGGCAAGCGGGAACCTCCAATATAGGATTTCGTGACACATCTAGAAAGAGAAGACCACTCACGAAGCACAAATTAAGGATTATTTGAGTTTTTCATAGGTACTAGACTATGAATTTTACGAATTAAGACTGACTGACTCTGTTTGACCCCAAATTTTGTGAGCCCATTTGTGACGACTTAGTGAATGATCATCTATCTCTGCAGGACTGACATCATTTATTCTCTTGGACTTTGAAGGTCACGAAAATGAAATTTAAGATTATCTAAGTTTTTTGTGTATATTATAATTTATCATTTTTTCAAAATATGTCAAAACAACTTTATTTAACCCCAAATTTTATGAATCCATTTGAAACGACCTAGCTAGTGAACGATACTATGCAAAGGATTGACATCACTATTTTTGGAGTTTTAGGTTAGATTTAAAAGCTCAAAAGGACAAGGTCACGGGTTGGGTCTCCAACAAACAAAATGATGGCAATAAGGCTATTTACTTTCATGAATTTTTCTTGTTATTTTTTGTTTTATTCTACAAATGGAATTGTTACCATATGAAATTTCAATTTCAAAATCTCAATTCTAAGGAGGGATTGAAAGAGACATATATAGACCTAATTTGTTTTTATTGTGGAATGTGTAACAAATAGATGCATTTAGCTTTAGTTTAAATTCATATAATCATTTATATATATATATATATATATATATATATATATATATATATATATATATATATATATATATATATATATAAAATTTTAATTGCATATTCAAATGTTACATAGCCTATAGCTTAATTACAACCTTTTAGAATTAAATATCGGGTTAACTATATTAAACAATATTTGTTAATATAACTTAGTTAAATATCACCACTTTTATCATCCTATGTTTCACTGGATATAATATTTATGGATACTATATTTATTACACTTGAAAAAATTTCTACTAAATTAATTATTACACTAACCATAGAACCGAACATTTTTCATCGTCAAGAAAGCTGGGGATGCTCATCGATCCATGTGACTTAGCTTTTAAGAGTAAATCAAGGCGTTGTTAATGAGACGCAGTGGACTATTTGGGGAAAATGATATATAATTATATCATCAAAAGCATACACAACACGTTTATGGGAAAAACATAAGAGTTTTACCAGACATACAAACATGACAAATAAAGATAGGAGTAGGCATCGGAGCAGATCTCCACTAAATTAAAACACATTATTTTGCGTACGTCTAGACGCATAAGCAATAACTAGGTAGCTAGCTGCTCCGATGAATCGTTCAAATTAAAGCGCTGCAACTGATTTTGGAATCCAGACTAGATCATTACTTGATGGGAAAAAGTGACAGATAGGTGATGTTACTGGTAATATCCCGAGCACTCGAAAGGATAGATGGGATGGATTCCAATCAGAGGTATCCAAATGACAAACAGCAATTGCTTCAATTTTATAACCATTTACATCATTCCTTAATGAAACCTTCAACACCTTGCTTTTGCTAACTGTGTGATGACAGTAGTAAACGCTACGCATGGTATGACACGCCACCATCTTAGTAGCTCCAACATCTTCTGGATCATTCAAAATTGTATAGTTTTGAAGACGATTATGGTTCAGGGGATCAGTACTAGTCGTCGTCATAGTGATGAGAGGTTCGATTTGGGTGTTTTCTCCCAAAATGTGTTGTACAAAATCGCGCATTGCCTCAATAGATGTGGCACAGTACTTAGTATCTCCCTTCATGGGTGAATCTTCACATAGTCTTAATGTTTCTTCCATGGATTTTGCTTCCTTTAATGAAAATGGAAATTTTTTGGGTAACATTTGTAGAGAAGAAGGAAGATCCATTGTTGGAAAGGAGTGAGTTAATGTTTTCCCCAACTTTAGATCATCCATAAGGAAAAAAATTCCTTGAGTCATATGTTCATTCTGTTTTGGCTCTTCACCTCCATATTTATATCTAACATACAGACTCGTAAGGGATTGGGATTTTCCTTGAGCCATATGTTCATTCTCTTTTGGCTCTTCACCTCCATATTTATATCTAACATACAGTCTCGTAAGGGATTGGGAATTACCTTCAGCCATATGTTCATTCTCTTTTGGCTCTTTACCTCCATTTTTATATGTAAGAAACAGTCTCGTAAGGGATTCGGAATTTCCTTCAGCCATATACCTAGCTTCTGTTCCATAAGTAACCTGACATATATATTATGAAGTGAGCAACATATATTTATAATTAAGTACTAATTAATTGTATTAACTAAGATGGAGGAGAATATCAAAATTACCAGCAGAACTAGGGAGACAAGTACACAAAAACCAAGCTTAACATCCATCGTTCTTCTGTTGAGTTCTTATGAAATTCTACTGAAATAAGAGGTATATATATACTACTAGTAGAAATGATGGTTGTTTTACTATTAGAAAGTTAAGATATTAGAGTTGATTTGCATCTCATAATAATTTTTGTATCATTACGTATATTATATATACTTGTATTATCATGTTAGAAGATTTATTTTCTATGAGTTTTCTTAATCATGTTTGTAATTATTTCAAACTATTGATGTATTTTTATAATTTTGTGTTATAATAATATTATACTATATTATAAATTATAAATTTAATTATCCATGGGACTTACGCCCCATATCTCGGGGCTTACACCTCGCCTTGTGCTAAATAATAAAATGTCCCGCCTTACACCCCACCTTTCATAACCTACATATTTTCTTCGCACAAAGGATGGTTTTTACCAGATGAGGCTTCTTAAATGGGAACCTTGGTTTAATCCGGAGGCAGAGACAACTACGGCTCTAGCTTGGATATCATTCCCTGGACTATCACCAAAAAAATTTGTCGAGGAATCTCTATTCTCCATGGCAAGAGCAGTAGGAAAACCCCTTCATGTGGACATGGCAACGAAGAATAAATCTAAACCTAGTTGTGCCAAGGTCAAAGTTTAAGTAGATCTGTTAAGAGATTTTTCGAAAAGGATTAATGTTGGAATAAAAAAGGCAATTTCTGGAGAAATTGTATCAACATGATTAACAGATACGACTATGTGCCTAAATATTGCACAAATTGCAAGTTACGGGGAATAAAGAATCAGAATGTTTTACTCCCTCCGTCCCATTTTATGTGGCAACATTTCCTTTTTGGTCAGTCCCAAAAAGAATGTCACATTTCCTTATATGGCAAGTTTATAAAAGTATAATTCCTCTTTTATTCTTGTTGGTCCCACTTAATCTTAAAATAATACTCCAATACATTTATGAGGAGAGAGAAAAAAAGTCTACTTTTTAAAGGGCAATTTGGTAAACATTTCAAAGTCTTCATTTATTTCTTAAACTCCGTGCCCGGTCAAATGTTGCCACATAAAATGGGACGGAGAGAGTATTTTACATCCTGAATTGAGAGTGTTATGTTTCGAGAAATGTGTTCTTGATTTTGTTAAGCCTGATCTTCACTACTTCTTTCATGCTTATTCTGGTTTTTGGCATTTCCTTTGTGCAGTCTAAGGCCAATTCTATCGAGGCTATGTAGATTTCACTTTTACTAGGGATTTGTTCTTCCTCGGGAAAATGGTTGGCAACGTCCATCATACTCCCTGAAAATGATTGTGTTATCCAACCCTTCGGGGTGGCTCAGTGGTTTGGGCTTGGGACTTCCATGTTGGAGGTCTCAAGTTCGAAACCCCTTGCCAGCGAAAGCAAGGGGTTTGTCTTCTGGGTCGAGCTCGTCGCACCGGGCTTGCCTAGTGCGGGTTACCTCTCCTATGTGGTTTGCGAGCTATTGCATAGGAGCGGGGGTTTTACCCTGTGCGCACCCAAAGGTTAGCGGCTGCGGGTTTCCCTTGTCATCAAAAAAAAAATGATTGTGTTATCCATTTCCTTAACTCAAGATTTTCATTGCACATCTCTTCATCCGTTGGCCTTCTTTTGGTTAAAACCTCCATCAACATGATGAGCCGTACTCTTAAAAGAACGAAAATGAAAAAGAATTACTCAGTTGGATATAACAATAATGCTCGTACTAACAAAGACTTGCTTTTTATTTAGTCCTAGAATTTTCAAGGGCTTGATTTTGATAAGAGAAAAATCAAATAGAAAGGTTATAATTTTAGTATACCTGGTGCAATGTATCCAAGAGTTCCCAATATCTCGGTATGTGCCATGGACTTGCTTACGGCTAAAATTTTAGAGATGTCAAAATCACCAACATGAGCCACCATATCTTCATCCAAAAGAACGTTGACTGGCTTTAAGTCACAATGAACTATCGGAGTGACATGACCATGATGTAGATATTCAAAATTATCTAAATTTTACATGTGTATATATTCATGATTTTTTTTTTGAAATATGTCAAACCGTATTTGTTTGTGTGACTTGAAATAATCTCACTAAAGATAAAATTGTCGTTTTAAAATTTAATTATTACTCCCTCCATTTCAAAATAATTGAATTATTGGGATGTTTCATACCCCTTTAAGAAAAGAATATTAAAACATAAATTAGACATTACTTTCTATTTTTTTCCCTTATTAATTATTGTCAAATTGATCTTTAGAATAATTCAAAACAATTAAAGTTTCTCCATACAAAATCTAAATGAAAGATAAAAATGAAAGAATATTAAAAAAATAGTCTTGAAAATTGAACAATTAAATTAATTTAAGATATCAAAAATATCTCAATAGTTCAATTATTTTGAAACAGAAAAAAATATTAAACATAGAAATGCGTCATTTTTATTTAGGGTCAACAGAGATTTTACTTTAACCATGTGGTCTTGTACTATAACTGTCTGCACAAATAATTGAGAAGCATTATTCTGCTCTCGCAGGTAAAGGCATCAATTAGCTAACACGTTTAACTCGTTTAAATGGAAAAGGGCAAAAACGTTCCTCAATTCTCGCAAAAGGTCTAAATATATTTAGGGATAAGGCATAAATAGCTTAGACTATTATCAAATCTTAGAGACACTCTCTTAATTAGGGTTCTATTATTTCCAAATTCATTTTTTCGTATTTTTGTGCATCTTTTATGCTGATGTGACACTTTCAACCACTCAATTTACTATGTTTGTACACACGCGCTTGCCATGTGTGTAAATATATATTTTTTTATTTTATTTTATAAATTTTTTTCTTAATTCTATTTTTTTAAAATAAAAATTAAAAAAAAAATGAAAAAAATATTCTTATTTTCTTTATCTTATATTTTAATTATTTTTTTAAAAGGTGGGCTCATGCCCTTATGTAAGAAAAATGACGTAAAAGACAATACCAGACCGGGTCCAAAAGTGACTCGGTCCAAAACTCAAATTGTATCTAAATTAAGTTTATACACATAAAAAAAAATTAAAATCAAATAAAACATAAAAAAAAATTAAAACGTTAAAATCAAAAAACACTTTTTAGTTATTTTTTAAAAAAAAATACGCATAATTTTTTTAAAAAATAATTAAAAGTAAAAAAGATAAGAAATTAATGAAAGAAAAAAAATAAAAAATTTAAAGCGAGAAAGCAGTAAGTTTTAATATCATCAAATGTGTACTAACTAATTTTTAGCTTATTTTTAATATCATCAAAGAAATGAAAACAGTTAAATATATATAAGAAATGAAAAGGGCTTCACTTATTTTTAGCTTCTCCGGAGCTGAGGCTGGGAATCCGAGTTAGAGTTGGATGGAGTTGGGACAGTCATACGACGTCGTTAGAGAGGCTTACAAAGGAAGAATTTAACGGAACGGCGCATTTTGATGTGGAAAAGATGGTCAGTATCCCCTCTGGTTAGTTAACGATGACTTGGTTAAATTGGATTTTATAATTTATAATAAAAAAATAAAAAACTATTATTTTATAGTATTTATTTTCGGTAGAAATTTTAACTTTGAGATTAGTAATTTAAGAATTGTTTTTATATGATAAATTGTGTAATTAGTTTTCCATTGATAAAAATGGTCAAAAACTGTCAGTTGTCCGTTAACAAGGTTATTTTAAAGTTTTACAAGCAATTTGGTAACAATTTAATTATGATTTCATAATTAAATATGAGATTATTTTATATTTACTTTTGATAAAAATATTAACTATAAAATTAGCAATTTTAGAATTGTTTTATGTTATAATTGTGGTAATTACTTTACTATTAGAAGCGATCAGACGCAGACAGCTGTCTGTCGATATACCGACATCTGGCAAGGTTATTTCAAAGTTTTAGCGGTGGTTTGGTTATAATTTTATTATAGTCTCATAATAAAACATGGGATTATTTCTTATTTACTTTTAGTGGAATATAACAATTTCAGAATTGTTTTATATTATAATTGTGGTAATTACTTTAGTATTAGAAGCGACCAGACACAGACAGTTATCTGTCAACATACTTGCATCCGACAATGTTATTTCAAAGCCTTAGCGATTGTTTCTCTACAATTGAATTATAATCTCATAATAAAACGTGAGATTGTTTCATATTTAGTTTTAGTAGAAATACTAACTTTAAGATTAGCAATTTTAGAATTGTTTTATACAATTAGCAATTTAAGAAATTTTAAAGACATAAAAAAAGTTTGGGTGACTTGAAATTCTATCACTGTCATATAACTTGGAATATAGGAAGTAACATATGTTATTTAAAATGATGAAGTACTATAAATTACAATAATTAACAACATATAAATTTAAAAGACCGAATAAAAAAATTAATTGATTAAAATTCTACCAGTGACACATAAATTGAAACAGGGATAGTAACATATATTATTTCAAAATTATATATAATGTACTACAAATCACATGATTAACAGCTTAAAAATCTAAAAATCATATTAAAAATTTGATTGACTCTCCAAATTTATTTGAGTTACATAAATTGGTACAACTAAATAACATATATTGAGTATGTGCTAGCGTGAGCTGTTGTATTTAGTATTTTTATATCATAATACTCCATATGTCCAATAATAGTTGTCACTTTTCATTTTTCGAGACTTAATTTGATCAATTTTTAAGTTAATATTACATTAAATCAATTTAAAATTAATTTTTTTATAAAAAAAAAATATTGTAATCTGTAATTTTCCTCGTATCATTATAATGAAAAATATTTTAAGAATTAAACAAAATTCAAGTAGGCTGTCTCTGAAAAATGCAACACAACAGTTATTTTGAGACAAAATGAGTATCATATATATTTCAACGTAATAACAATCCTGGTACAAAATAATAGATAACATTCTTGTCTTTCAAATATTTTCCTCAAAGCTTTTTCAAGACATGAAAGGTTAAAATTGAAAAAAAAAATATTTGGTTTAAATTAAATACAAGGTATATATTATATCCTCTATATCTCATTTTTAATTCATTGAATCAAACATTTATCAATAAAAATATATTTATTTAATAATTGCATCATGATTGAACCTAAAAAAACATGAAATCACTACTAAAAACAAGCTCAATAGGGGAAAACAACTTGTTAATATTTTTTTTCATTTAACAAAATTTATCTCTAGAAATCGGTTTTTGCCAAAAACTTGAAAAGTGCTAACCACCTCCAGAGGTAAAGGATATTGATAGATTTTGTATTTAGATACTTCACATCATACCATATAAAGCCTCAAACAAAGCCATTTAAATGTAGATATTCAATAGTCATAGCCACATCAAGCATTACAGTGACTCTTTGAAGAAGGTTCAAGTGGCAATCTTCTTGTACAGTCAATTCTCAAGACTTCCATTGGGCATAAATTGCCAAACAAAGGCTCTTATACAGTGGCGGAGCTAGGATTTTTAATAAAACTACATCAAAAATGAGCTTTAGCGGCAATTGACACTCTTTGTATATGTCCTTAAAGGCTTTAGCGACATTGGATCTAATAACACTTAACTAATGTCGGTAAAGACTTTAGCACTTTTTATTAATGTGTCTATTTATTGTCGCTAAAAGTTATTTTTGTTGTAGTGTAAGGGGGTTCAAAATCTGAAGAAGTAAACTACGAACTAATCAAAGGGGTTCGACATTTACTATATATACATAAAAAATAATGTTAACCATGTATAAATAGTAATATTTTCCTCCGAAGGGGGTTCGGATGAACCCCTAACTCTATGCTAGCTCCGCCCCTGCTCTTATATAGTCATTAAAACAAGTAGTAATCATCGGAACAAGATTTTTGTGTCAAACATTTCTCATGTCGCCTATTCAATATCAAACCTCTCGCATACTTGCTTATTTTCCAAATCTAGAACCTTTATGGCCACTGTAGCTCCACTAGATAATGTGCCTTTGTACACAGAGTTAGAGTCTCCCTCACCAATTAAATTGGATCCATCAAAATTATTTGTTGCTAGTTGAATCTCATGATAAGAATAAATCAATTGGATAAGTCTAGATCTCAGGAACCTTTTCGACATCTTTGGACTTTCGTTTCATTATCCAAATTGAGACTAACAAGAATATCATAAAGAATGATATAACCATCGGAGTAACCATTTTTAGCACAAGTTTCTTAGAGACTTATTGTCGTCTAGGATTAGTGATAGGGCAAGCGGGAACCTCCAATATAGGCATTCCACATAGACCTTTGTTCTCAAAAAATGACCACATAGAATTTCGTGACACATCTTGAAAGAGAAGACCACTCTCGAAGCTCGAATTAAGGATTATCTCAGTTTTTCATATGTACTAAACTCTATGAGTTTTACGGAATAAGACTGACCTAATTTGTTTAACCCCAAATTTTGTGAGTCCATTGTGACGACTTGGTGAATGATAGTCTGTCTCTGTAGGACCGACATCATTATTTTTTTTGGAGTTTCGAGGTCACAAAAATGGAGTTTAAGATTATCTAAGTTTTTTGTGTGTATTAGTCAATTAATTTTTCAAAATATGTCAAAACAACTTTATTTAACCCTAAATTTTATGAATTCATTCGTAACGACCTAGTGAACGATACTTTGCAGAGACTAACATCACTATTTTTGGAGCTTTAGGTTCGGTTTAAAAGTTAAAAGGACAAGGTCACGGGTTGGGTCTCCAACAAACAAAATGATGACAATATCTCATCACATGTGGAGATATTTTAGTGGATTTTGCTAGACTTAAGGCTATTTGCTTTCTGAACTTTTCTTGTTAGTTTTTTGCTTTATTCTACAAATGGAATTGTTACCATATGAAATTTCAATTTCAAAATCTCAATTCTAAGGAGGGATGGAAAGAGACATAATTGTGAAAGTGTAACAAATAGATGCATTTAGCTTTAGTTTAAATTCATATAATCATGGTGATGAGAGGTTCGATTTGGGTGTTTTCTCCCAAAATGCCTTGTACAAAATCGCGCACTGCCTCAACGGATGTGGCACAGTACTTAGTCTCTCCCTTCATGGGTGAATCTTCACATACTTCTTTCATGGATTTTGCTTGTGGAGAGTCATTAAAGAAATGTTTAACAAGGTTTGGGAGTTCCTTCAATGAAAATGGAATTTTTTTTGGTAACACTTGTAGAGAAGAAGGAAGATCCATTGTTAATGTTTTCCCTAACTTTAGATCATCCATAAGGAAAAAAATTCGTTGAGCCATATGTTCATTCTCTTTTGGCACTTTACCTCCATATTTATATCTAATAACCAGACTTGTAAGGGATTGGGAATTTCCAGAACATTATGTGTTAAAATCTTTAGTTAACATTGTTGACCTTCATAATTCTTGAATAAATAAATTGTACTTAATAGTTTTTTTAATCTATAGAAATAAGAAGATTGAGAGTGAGTAACTCAAATAACAAGTTGTGGTATCGCATTTTTACTATTTGGTAACACTGTGAGTAGAGGTGCCAATATGGGTTGACCACTCCATCCATCTGGACTTTGAAATTTGAGCCTGCACACAAGTATACAAGGGAACAAAGAACCCTGAGGGGTAGCTCAGCTGGTAAAGGCCTGGGACAAAGTCCTTCAGGTCGCCGGTTCGAGCCCCAGCAGGGCCACTGGAGGCATTACAAACCGGCCGCGTCTCCAGGGCCCCGTGGAACTAACCGTGGTGGACCCGCCTTGAAACAGCGGGACCCGATGGGTACAGCTAGTCGGGTTCGCAAAGCGACGCCCGGAAACCACGGTAAAAAAAAAAAAAAAAAAAAAAAAAGGGAACAAAGCTTGCCGTGAGAGATTAAGAAGGGAAAAATTGAATAAAAGGTATTGTCATGCTCAGCCTCATATGATTCAAAATTAGGTTTTGTCTACCATACGCAACAACACCGATAAAGCATGGATGTAGTTCATTGCAATTTTATAGCTGTCTTGTTCTCTGCTGGCTTGGGAAGTCTTACAAGACTTGGAGCTGCCATTGGAAGTTCTTCTAAGTATAGCTAAGAGTATTTAAAAAAGGTCATTATTCGGGTAGCGATTATTAATTGTTACTGAAGAAAGAAGAGAGGTGAAGTAGTATGTTTTAAATCAATCTATTGAATCTAGGTTTTCAGACTTATGCTCTGTTCTGGAACCCATTAGAGCTGTAAAAACAGACAAAATGGCCAAACTTGGTGATCTAAACCAGCTGAAGACTGAATCTGAGGAATACAAAGAGATGAACCAAAAGCTTATTAAGACTTTGAAGGTTAGAAATGATTTTGTTGAAAGGCTAAAGTAGCTTGGTGACTGGCAGTCTTGAGTACTAACTCTTGAATGGAATTAGAAGAAATTTTGGCTTTGATTACTTGAATGAATTCCTATCTCTGATGCCCAGTGTACAATCTCACAGACAAAATGTTTTCGAAGAATGAACTTCGTGAAGAGAAACTTGCACTACAAAGAGAGGATGGAGCAAGAGTTGAAAGTGCAAGTTTTATTCCACCTCATCCAGCAGCATATCAGCCGGATGGCCATGTGCCAATGTGGCAGTATCTACAGCCATCTTCGCTGGACACATCTCAAGATCATAAGCTCTGCTGCTTGAGAATCTTGCAAGATAATGTATGGCAGATAATTTCTCTAGATGGAATTGGATTTGATTGACATCTGCTACTTTTGCCCGCATTTTTGTTTGTCTTGACATTTTAGTTTTTGTGTATCCAAACTATGTGGTACTAGTTATTTATGAGCATTTATGGATTCTATATGATGCTGCAGCCGAGGGAATATCAATCCCAGGGGTAATTCAGTGACGTTTAGAACTAATTAACTGTGCGTAGGACTTTGGAGAGCTCCATTTACTGGTTAGGATGGGTGAACATCTTGATGCTAGTTAGATGAATTATGTGTGATTTGTCTAGTCTCTCTGGACTGGACTGGACTGGACAGAAATATGAATGATATGGGCTGCTGTTTTAACCTGCGACATCTTGCATAACTAATTGAACATCCAAACAAAAAAAAGAAAAAAAGAGTCTTGACTATACTCGAATTATGTCTATTATTGTTTTACTTCTAGCATACTACTTCAGACATAAAGGAGAGGTTCTGCACTAATCTGCACCATAGGGTCTTCGTGATGCACTTCGTTAGTTGTGCAGCATTGCTCTTTCTCTTTCAATTCTGGTTGTGGATCTTCTTTTCCCCACAAAGCAAGTGCAGTCCAATATTTGTGTTGTAGTAAGATTCCTAGTATAACTAGAATAGAACTCTTAAGTGCTTTTTCCTCTCCTATTATATATAGATAGATAGGACTCTTCAACTCAACATTATTTTTCAGACTTGAGATTTTTACAAGTATTGATAGCTATGGGGACTAGCATAGGCACTTACAAGAGGTTCAAGCCTCACATCCTTATGGTTTTGGCTCAAATTGCTTACACTTTTTTGTACTTCATAACTGAAGCTTCCTTCAATCATGGAATGAATCCTCGTGTCTACATAACTTATCGGCATATCGTTGCCGGTCTTGCTATGCTATTTTCTTGAAAGGTAAATCACTAAGTCATCTCCAATGCAGAAATGCAGTTTTTTTGATGTTTCTATTGATTTTTGCAGAAATAGAAGGCCAAAGTTAACTATAACTCTCAAACAATTTGTACTCTCTACTGGGGTAAGATCTATCAAACATCAAATTTTCATATGTTGTTTGAGAGTTATAGTTAACTTTGGCCTTTTATTTCTGCAAAAATCAACAGAAACATAAAAAAAACTGCATTTCTGCATTGGAGATGACTTTGTGATTTACCTTTCAAGAAAATAGGCAAATGGTAGCATAGCAAGACCGGCAACGATATGCCGATAAGTTACGTAGACATGAGTATTCATTCCATGCTTGAAGGAAGCTTTAGTTATGAAGTACAAAAAAGTGTAAGCAATTTGAGCCAAAACAATAAGGATGTGAGGCTTGAACCTCTTGTAAGTGCCTATGCTAGTCCCCATAGCTATCAATACTTGTAGAAATCTCAAGTCTGAAAAATAATGTTGAGTTGAAGAGTCCTATCTATCTATATATAATAGGAGAGAAAAAAGCACTTAAGAGTCCTATTCTAGTTATACTAGGAATCTTACTACAACACAAATATCTATCGAGATGAAAAAGCGATTATGTGTCAGCACCACAAAAATCATATTTTAAAATAATTAAAATATTTAAAAAATTAGTTCCATGTAACTAAAACACTTTTTAAAAATAAAATAAAATTAAAAGTTAAAAAAAATTCCCACAAAAGTTTGATGATCTTTTTTATGAGATTGAGTTTAACACGAGATTATATTCATTCTCATTATAATCAGGAGGAGATGCACAAGAACATGAACTTGAAAGGAAACAAAATTGAATGTATTTAGGGGATAAATATGGCCGCCTTTGTCTGTTGCCAAACCATATGTAGTTATGTACTCTCAACAATCTTTTCGAATCTCTTGTTTCAATTTAAATTTCCTAAAAACTACAAAAGATCAAAAACGAAATATGAAAAGGTAAAGTAGTAAAATAAACAAATTGATCCAAGTTAAAATTGCCAACATATCAATATAAAAGTAGTATGTCTCAATTTATATGATACAATCTTCTTTTTAAATCTGTCTAAATATTTAAAGATAAATTACCTAAATACACAACTTATTTTATTATATTCTCTAAAATTTTCTGTCGTTTGAAAAATTACAAAAACCCCTATTTTCCTATTTTCGAATAAAGAAGAAAGATGAAGCACAAGGAGATAATAATAATAATAAAATATCACAAGCAACAAGAATAATAAGAGGCTCTCCAGCAGTACAATCAAAACCTCCAGGCAAACGTCCTGGTGTTGGTGGTCAAACTGGTTGAAATAATACTTGGAATTAATTCCAATTAATGTTTGCTCATTCTATAAAACCAACTTATGTACACTTGGTTCAATTTATTTAGAGTGTTTTTTTTGTGTGTTTATTTATTACTAGTTTTCCGATACGTGCGTTGCACGTGATTATCAATTCAGAAAATATAAGTGAAGATTTGAATAATAAGGTTTGCACAATATAATATTGCAGATTTTTTTGTGAATGTTCAATGTGGATCGTCATATATATCTCTTATTCACACGAACCTATGTAGATGGTCAATGCAAAATTTTATTAGTTAAATGCAATAATGTATATATTTATTTCAATATGATGAGGTTCAATCATGTAGTTAGTCGTATCTCACCAATATTACCTTATAGACGATATTTGTTGTGCATTTTTCTTGTCATCTAACCATATGTATTTTGGACGTGTATTCCACTTAATTTGTTTAGATCTCATATAAACATGTTGAGAACAACAACATTTTATTTTTTAGAACTATTTTTGTATATTAATTTTATTTATAAGTTATAACATAATAGATGACGTTCTTTTTGTTGGCTCTCATATTTGACTTCTCGATTGACTGTGTACATAAATCAAAGATAGTAATCTAACTGTCCATAGTTAACTGAGAAAGGTTTCCTTTTTTTTTTTTTACTGAAAAACAAACATTAAAATTAAAGAATATATTCTATCTGTGAAATCATTTATATAATCACATGTTTATCTTACACCCAACAAAGATATAGTTTATATACTTGTAAACAATTTTCAATTTATTCAACCAAGCATGATTCGTCCAAGGAAAAATAACAACATTGTGTTATCACATATATATGAGCGGTATAATAATATGAAAAATTATTGGTCAAAAGTTAATATATGGAAAGATGAATGATAGAAATAATTAATGTAATAATTATGAGAATTCATAATACTATAACTAAAGAATGTAAAAGAGTGTGAATGACATTTGCAATAATTAGTAATAACTTATACTTACATAAATAAATAGGACATTTAATTAATGCTACTATTTTTTTTTTATAGTTATTAGATTTTAATTTAGTGTAGAGACAAAATGAAAATGTTTACTCCATATTACTGAATATAAAATTTATTTTGTTAATGATAAATTTTAAATGATTCATAAATATTCACATATTTTCACATTTGTTGTGAGTTTTTTTTTAAAAAAAAGGAACTCGGAAATTTTAATATATTTTGACGTTAGAAGATCTTGTTAACTTGATAATATATTTGTAACATATAAAAATACCTACCCAAATATATATATATATATATATATATATATATATATATATATATATATATATATATATATCATAAAAATTAACTATTAAATAAATAATAAAAATTAACCGAATACAAACTTCAACTGGCGTTATTAGAAGTCATATGAACTTTTCTTAGTCGAAATCACTGAAATATTAAGAAATACTAAATTAGTAAAACAAAAGGACAATGTTTACATAGTAATAACTATTTTGAAACAAACTTCCTGACAATCTAAATCACATAAGTAGCATTTATAAATAAAATCTTCAAAAACTTAAATATACAATTTAACCACCTAAACAACCCCCATATAACAATAATTTAACTTTTCACCTACATAACAATAGAATTTTTACAAAACAAAAAAAATAAATGATAAATTATAAAACAACAATACACGTTCCTATATTCATAAAATTTCATTCCTTAATTTCCTCTCATTTTGTTATTTAGCTTCCACAAATCTCTCAATAATTAATCCCTCAATATTTTTATTTCCTTATTTTTCTCCTTTTTTTTTAAATATTTTCTTAAAATATTGAACCAAACAGGTTCTCTTTTCTCTCTCCACCTTTTTTTTCTGAATTTTTTGTCTCTCATTTTCTTATTTTTCTCTCTCTCTCTCTTCACGTCTCTTTATCCTCTTTTTTTTTTTTTTTTACCATTTCTTACCCCATTTTATTTTCTGAAAAAATTCTTTGTTCTTTTTTATTTTTCTCCCTTCAATTTTTTTTTAAATCATCTTTTCTACCAATTTAGATGGAATATATAATCAAAAATTAAATTTATCATCAATGTATGAATTTATTTATTTTAATTTACTTGGTTATAATTTGGTATAATACACTCATTATGGTAAAATTGAATTAGATTAATTTGAACTTGACACCAAAGTTAAATCATATTGTACACCATGTAAATTAGTTTAATGATACTAAAAAGTTGGTATATATTTTATTAGATTATGGTGTTATGTATTATAGGGTTGTAACATATAACTAAAATTAACTTTACAATCAATTATAAATAAATATCTTTTATAGTTCTAAACCAACATATCACCAAAAAATTAGCCATGCCATACATCAAAGTATTTACACTATAACATATTACAACTTTAAATCAACAAATCACCATTATTTTTCAACTAACAAATCCACCAATTATTTTAAGTTGTTAATTTGTTATAGTTATTAAAATTTGAACTTGACACAAAGATTACACCACATTGTACATCACATAAATTAGTTTGATGATACTAAAAAGTTGGTATATAGTTGATTAGATTATGGTGTAATGCATTTTAGGGTTGGAACATATAACTAAAATCAACCTCACCATCAATTATAAATCAAGTTTTTTTTATTGTTCTAAATCAACATATCACCAAAAAATTAGTCATACCATACATCAAAGTATATACACTATAACATATTGCAACTTTAAATCAACAAATCACCATTATTTTT